CCTAAACATCAGGACATTACTGTAGAAAATAAAGTTATATATGGTTTCCAAAGATTACGAAATTTCAGCAAGTACAAAAGGTGTCAAGACCCATAGTTGGCTTCATCAAATGCTTTTCTAGTTCATTTCAATTCTTCATTGATAGTGAGCAAGCCTTTACCCCTAGCAAACTTCCTTGGATCCTTTTGAATCAAGAAGACAATATCTTCGACTTATACTAGACCTTGTCTCCCAATGGACATTGCCTTGTGAGTCATTTCTATGATGAACTCTATGACAAGGTCTTTAAGAATAAGCAACTGCACTGAAGATAGCAATTTGTAATAGTAGGTTCATGCTTGCAGTGCCTGTCGTTTTGGTCTTCTGAATACAGGCTGCTTGTCATGACATGCCAGTTGCTGCCATGCTGTCTTTTGGGTAAATGACTGTTCAACAAGGGGGTGGTGAATGAAGGTAGGAGACAGGAAAAGGAACATTGCGGGACTGTCCTGCTACAAGGTTGTATATGGTTAGATTTCTGGACTAATGTGTAAACATAAGAATTATATAATTCTTTGTGCCTATTTTTAAAATATATTTTAATTTTTAAAATGTTTTATTATAATCTGTAGGGACTTAAAGTTCAACATATCAATACTTGATGAAAAATACCTGTTCCATGTTATGCCTAAGATGTTTGATATTCAGATAGTGAGGTTAAGCTTAACAGCCTAGGTTGTATGGTAATAACAATAAACTTCATTTCTGGAGGGTTAACAACCTAAGTTTGCAGACCAAAATGAGAGAAAAAGGAGGGCCGCAAGGAAAGCCAACATTTTGGCCCTAGCCTTCAAAGGTCAATTAAGACTCAGGATATTTGAGAACTTGTACTCAGTAGTGTCCCAAATTTTCTGATCAAGGAGATTATGGGGCCAAAGTGGAAAGTGATCGATAATGTAGAGTGTGCCTAAGGAGAATCACATGGAGAGAAAACATTCTCAGGCGTTCACAGAGCGCACATTACATTGGCCAAGCAGTTGCCATGACTCATCCACATGGCTGACACTGACAAAGGATCTACAAGCTGAGGTACAGGATCTCAGGAAAAATCCTAGGGGATTTCACTGACCTTATAAGATCCAAAAGCTACAACTCTTGTTGCATAGGTCCTGCTTTATCTTGGTCTTAACCATCCAGCAGAAAAGTATAAAAAGGAAGTATAAGAAGTAAAGCCATGGTGTTATGTTGAGCTGTAGGGGAACCAGGTCAACAATTTCTGACATTGCCAGTCAAGTGGAAGATCCAATACTATTATGAACTACTGGACTCTTTCAGAATATTTTGCTGAGTTAACACACCTATAATATTCAAATAATGGAATTAAACCAAAAAGGGGATACAGATGAATGTCCATTTTGTATCTGTGTATTCAAAATGGTTAGGATAGATATATAGTTACATTCTCTTAATGAACAGAGGTATTTGTTCTAATAGTGTTTGTAAATAGGATATGTTTGCATCTTGTAGAGCAAATAACCACTAGGAAGAGAGTATGCAATGTGCTAATTATTGAAACTGTCCTACCAATTTGATTTGAAACTGTCTCATTGCTATTTGTTTCTCAATAAAATTATGGTAAAAAACAAAAAAAAAAAGACTATCCACTGACTCAGTACAGATTCTGGTCATCTCCAAACCCATACATCATAATTCTTTGGAAAAGTCTTTCTTTTACCCTGTCCACCTTCAACATCTCCTCCAATTTCTTCATTTTTCTCCTCAAAAGTAGGATCCTGTTCCTCATCTGCCATCCCACCAGTGAACAAAACTAAAGACCAGAATCATACTCTTTGGCAGGCAAGATACAGATCTTCCATTACTGGGAGACTCATACGACTCCTTAAGGAATATGGTCAGTGTGGTCTGCAGCAAGGCTCTTGTCTTCATATGGACCCAGCTGTGGTTGTGATGCTAATATTGTCCAGACACTGCCAGCTTGAATACTGTCTCACACCAGGCAGGCTGTGTAAATCCAGCACCCTATGCACCATTTCAAGTGTAGAGAAAAATGAAGCACTGTCCTTAAAAGGCTGCAAAGAGCTCTTAACTAAACTATGAATCAACACTCATTTGTAAGAGGGCTCAGCAGTTTAGCTGGCATGACTTTTTTGAAAGTTGGACCTCAGAATTTCCCAGTCTCAAATTTTACTGCTTAAACTCTTGGCAGATGTACTCAGTATCTACTAGTCAGTCTAAGGACAATGCTCAGATAGTCTAGGAGTTGGCTGAGAAAGGGACCTGGAGTACAAGGGCAGAAGTTTATATTGTTTACCATCAACAGCACACAGCCTGTATTTAACCTTCTGCCTGTTTGAGGATGGAAAAGACAGTCCTGATTAAAACAAAACAAGTACGGGCGTGGTGGCACACACCTGTAATCCCAGCACTAGGGAGGCAGAAATCAGGAGGATCCCTATGAGTTCAAGCTGTATAGTGAGACGCTGAACAAAACAAAAAACCTTAAAACAAAATAAAATGAAACAGTCATCCCACCCCTTGTAATTCCATTCAACTCTTATGTAGGAATGGCATCAACCACAGTTCCACCGGCTAGTGGTCCATAGCTCCAAGGTCCCTCTCTCCCACACTTACTTGGGAGTCTGGATCTTGGATTTTTTTTTTTTTTTTTTTTGGAATGGGGTTTCAAAATCTCTGTGAGGTTCTAATGTGTAGCCACAGAGAACAACAGTGTTAGGGGAAGGTAGGACTTCCTGTTGTGGAGCTATAGGAACGCCCCAACCATACTTATTCCCATGTTCTCTGGACTTCGTCATAAATGCTTATTTTGGTTGCTCCTGGTGCCTGAAAAAGATCATTAAATTATTCTTCTCATGGTAGTAGGTTCCTTGTTGATTATAGTCAGAAAATGAACTATGCAAAGAAGATACTGCCTATTATAATTTTATAGGTAGGAAAGTCCAAATTTTTTATATAAATCTTTCCCTTGTTTTACCATCACTTTTCACTTTATTTTTGGTCTATTTCTTCAGATGTGAATCATGTTTTCCTAAACATCTCCTTGCTCTGTGGTATCGCTGTTCTGTCATTGATAGTGATGTTTCAGCAGTAAGCCGGCTCTTATTAGCAACTTGTCAAACCTTCTGTCTGAGGAGGGAAGGAGACAAACATACTGGAAAGGAATCAGATTCAAAGTTTCTGCATTAGCAAAATAAAATGGACAGCTAACTGCTCTGATGCTATCTTTACCTCATCACATAAACATACTACTATTTTAGAAAAGAAAATTTATGCTGGACGTTCACAAAAGCCATTTATTGCTCATTTCTGACACAGTCCCATTAAGAGCCATCCATATATCTTTGTCAGGAATTTTGTGATGGAATGTTTATTTTCTTCCAAAATCAAGCAAATTCAGTACAATGCCAGAATTTGATGGATATCTCACCTTTTCTTTAAAAAATGCCTTAGAACATACTCAGCACTCAAATAGCCTGCCTTTGGAAAAATCAAGATCACAACTGTCATTTTCATTGTCCTCGTCAAATGCCCAATGGGAACAATTACATATCTCCCATGCTGAGATTCTTTAGCCAGTTAAGTTAAAATCATTTACTTGCTTTTATGATGGTATGGACTGCATTCATTTAGATTAATTTGGCCTGTCTAACTCAGATAGACCATTTCATTAATCTAAAAAAGAAATTAAAAACCATCTGTGACATGGACTGCTAAGTTCTTTACAAACAGCACTTAAAAGCAAAAAAGGAAATGAAATTAAGGTGAGCAATCCTGTACATTCAGGGATCGGCTGCTTTCTGTAGATATAAGGACATTTAGAAGCCCCTCCTTTCAGAGTTGTAGGCAAATGCTGGAGGTAGAATCTGAAAGATACTCATCATTTGTCTAATTAACACATGCTTTGAGAAACCATTACTTAAGGGGCCAAGCTACTAGATGAAGGCTCTGCAGCAATAAAACCAGAAATTGAAGAATGCTGTTACAGTGAATTCTACTTAATGAAAAATTCTTGAAGACAAAAGAAACCTTATCTGCCATAAGTAAAGAAAGATCTTAAGAGAACAACTTTCTCCTATATAAAAAAAGATAGCTATGAAATGACACAAATTATTATAAAGCTCCTGAAGGCATCGATCCAAAGCTGCAGTCCAAGGCAGCCTCACAACATGATGGCCTAGTTCTTTCTTCAAATGCTTTCCTGGTCTAATAGTTTTGCAAATAGATGTAGGCAATAGGCCCTACCTCTTCTCAAACGTGCCCAACTAGAAATTTATTAAACTGGTAAGTAGTACAAGTCCATTTTTCCTGCAGCACTTCCTCCAAGTGGTGAGAACTTTCAAAATGGTGACATAGAGGAAGCCACAGATATTTCTGGAGTAATGCACACCCTACCAAGGGAATGGAGTCAGCTATGGAAAGTAAACAAGATAGACAGGAGGACCTCACACTGCAGGCTAGGAGATAATTTTACAAGACTTGACACAAGGGGCCAGGGAGATGGCTCAGTGGAATAAGCACTTCCCTGGCAAGTGCAAGGGCCTGAGTTTAATCCCAGGTTTCACAAAAAACCAAAAACCAAAACAAAACAAAAACAACCTTGACACAAGAAGCTGACACAGTATTTCTACTTGGATGATGAATAACACAAACATTAAAATGTGTTCAATGCTCATCCCAGAGGCCCCAACAACATGCATGAGGCTGGACATCTTAATACTGCTTTCTTCCCACAGTGTGTTTTCAATGTGACTGAGCCCACAGTGTTTTTATGGGCAATGATCTGGAATGAAGTTTCGGCTTTGCTAGAAACCAACAGCTTCTTTCTGATACTCTTTTTCAAAGAAGGGTTCTTCTGAGTACTCAAACAATCAAGCAAAGTTGCTGAATGCAAAGTGAGAACTCCTAAAGACTGCTATAACTTACTTTTGAATATCAGGAAGGCTTAGTAGTGATTTAACTTGCTTATGTGTCATAATACCTCCTTACACTAAAAAACAAAAAAACCCAAAAAGGCCATGTCTCTATACATTTCCATCATCCAGTTTGAGAGTGGTCAGGTTCCATCTAAAAAATCTGTGGAGATGAGCTACAAGTCATCCTTATGTTCTATGTTTTGTAATGCAGCATTAAGAATGCAAAAACCACTGCTATCAACTCTTAAGATTCCTATCTTGTAAATTATACATTTGCAGAGTACAAGAAATGCTGACGTCCTGTAACTCAGTGGTGTCCTGAATTTTCTGATCAAGGAGATTACAGGGACATAGAGGAAAGTGATCGACAGTGTACAGCATGCCTAAGGAGGGTCACCTAGAGAGGAAAAATTCTCTCAGGCTTTCAGAGAGAGCAAATAGGTCAAGTAATGGCCATGACTCATTCAGATGGCTCACATGGACAAAAGATCTACAAGGTGCTGTACATGGTTTCAGGGTAAATCCTGAGGGGATTTGAATGACTTCGTGAGATAACAAAAGTTGTATTTTTTTGTTATATAGGTCTTGCTTTAACTTGGTCTTAACCATCCAGCAGAAAAGTGTAACCACGAGGTATAAAAAGTAATGCCATATTAATATGCTGGGTTGTAAAAGGCTGAAGGCAAAAACTTCTGACAATTGCCAGTTCTGCTGATAACCCACTACCATTATGGACTATTGGACTATATTGGGTTATTTTGCTGAATTCAAGTACCTACCATTTTTGGACTGGCTTCAAATAGGAAAAGGTCCTTTAAGACTTCTCCAAATACAGCTTCTCTAACTACAGCGGAATACCCGGTCTCACCTCAACAAAAAAGGGGGATGTTGGGAGCCATGAAGCTAGGAAATCCATCACATATGTGTGAGTGGGAGTAGGCCCAGTGCCTAAAGTAAACAAACTGCTTCACTCTTGAGAGAACCATCCTGTCTAGTTAAGGCCAGCCATTTGTTGTTAAGCAACCTAGTGTCACATGTTACTAACTT